GGCAAGTCCTAGACAAAAGGAGAAGTACTCCCTCTCTGCTGCTTTCAGACTCAGATCCCACTCTGAGTGGGGTTCCTATTTCCAAGTCTGGAAATGCTAAATCGACAAGCCAACAGCATAAGTTACCACTGACCTCTTGCCTGACTCATTCCTAGCCCTTCAAGCCAGAGACAGAAGTGAGCCCAAGACCTCCAACTGCCTTGCTTCATTTTAGTTTCAAAACAGTGCTAGGAGGTAGCTATCCTTAAGGTGAGGAAACAGAAGCCTGACGTGCCCAAAGCCACTCTATGAGAAAAGGGCAGCATCAGATAGTGACCCTGGATCTTTTGCCCCCTAATACAGAGGAGAGGGTCATGGTCAAGAGGGTGAGTTTAAAAGTCTGATAAACATGGATTCAAATTCCTGCTCTGCCACTGACTAGCTCTATAATCTTGGTGACATCAAGTTAACAAGATTGTTGTAAGGATCACATGATATTTTTAAAATGCTTATCCCAGTGTCTGACATATAGTAAAGACTCAGCAAATGAGAGAAATTATTTCTATTTTGAAAAAAAGGCATATCACTGAGAGTGTATTGGATATAAAAAGCAAAAATGAAAAGGAGTCAATACCCTTTCAGGCTAATATTCCATGAGTCTGTAAAATACGCTCCTAATGTGAAAAGAACAAGGCCAGAAGAAAAGGAATACATCTGTCAACCAAAAAAAAAAAAAATTTTTCTTTTAATGGAGTTAACTGGTGACTAAATATAAAAAGATGAACAATAAGAGTGATTGGGTAAGATAAATGGATCACAGCATCAAGGAATGGAGATAAAAATAGCTCCATGAGACTTAACTCAAGCTGAAAGATACTTGAGGATCATTTCAAGGTTAACAACCAAAAAAAAAAAAACCACCAATTGCTATGGAGGTAAAAAGCAAGCCTGACTTTTCAAGTGAGAATCGAGCACATTACAAAATAGAATTCAATTCTTTCTGCATTTTAGCCACCCATGAGAAAGAAGGCTTGCAGCAAAGAAAACAAAATTATACCTCTCCCAGGAGTACAAGAGTTTAAACTTGAAGGCCAGTTTATAGAATACTTTATTAATGCGCTTTCCTACAATAATAGGAATGAGTTTTTTTTTTTAAGGTAAAAAGTTTTTAAAAAAAAAAAAAGGAAGAAGAAGAAGAAAGGAGAAAAAGTGATAAATTATATCCAGTTAAACTCCCCAAAGGTCAAATTCAGTTGCACAGTGAGAATCATAAAAAAACGGGGACTCATAATTACACATATTGCATGGAATTAACCAGAATTAACTAAAGAAATGGGGGAGGGGGAGAGGCTTTTTCAGGAGGAAGTTTTTTTTTTTCATATCAATTTGCTCTATGACTCCAAACAAAATAGTTCTCATGGGCCTGCTGAGTCTTAAATCCTACTGGTATTTTAAACAAACTTAGGGTGGCTTCTTTTCAGTCTCCTCTATCCTAAATAATACACAAACTGCAAAGGGCTTTCTCTCCTACCCTTTGCACCACCCCTCCCAGACAGCTAGATTTAGGAAGGGTTCCTTCCACCACTGGAGGGATAGAATTGGGAATGATCCCTGGTGATTTACTAGGCTCAAGAATGTGGACCCGGAGTGGAGTATAGCTACCTGACCTCCAGGCTCAGGTTTGCAAGAGGAATTCTTCTAGCACCCCAATGGGAGCGTTAAGGGGTAAGTGTTCTTCACAAAAGACCTGGGAAAAATTCTCTGGACTCAAAAATGTTAAAATAGAAAACAATCACCATGGAGCCTCTGACAAAAAGTTCTACAAAACATCAGAAGAGGAGCATTGATTTATTGACAGAAGAGTTTCATGATTTTAGTGAGGTTCAAGGGGATAGAACCTTTACAAAACAAAAGCAGGCTATGAAAGAGAACAAGCCAATGTAGGAAATTGGAGGGAAATAGAAACCACTGCTCTTAAAATTCCTGTTAAAGGCAGTAAGTAGTAGACTTGACAGAGCAAGAAGCTAAGTAAGATATTTCAACCTGAGAAATATGCCGAGAACATCAAAAATACATGTAAGTTGTTAAAATACTAAAATACTGGGGCACCTGGGTGGTTCAGTTTGTTAAGCGTTCGACTCTTGATTTTGGCTCAGGTCATGATCTCAGGGTTGTGAGATCGAGCCCACACTGGGCTCTGTGCTGGGTGTCAAGCCTGCTTAAAGATTCTCTTTCCCTCTCCCTCTGCTCCCCACCCCCACTGCACGCTTGCTCTTTCTCTCAAAAATCAAAACAAAAGCTAAAATACTTCCATATTGGTTGGTACAATGCCCCCTCCCCCATCCCACTCCCACCCTCCCCCAAGGCAGCCAGGCCCTTAACTGGACTTCATAAGATCCAGCAATTAAGGGTAACTCTTGGTATAGTGGAGAGCATCCAAAACTCTCCTCCAGTACAAAGACCAGTGTTAATTTTAACTGTCTTGTGCAAGGTTGGATGACAAACCAATTGTTAAATATTTTGAAAATAAAATATAATCCCTTGGCTCTAACTCAAGAATAATAGGTATTACTAGTCAACAGAGAGAACAGAGCACAAATGGTAACCGAAATTATAACTGAAAGAAGTTTCCTGGATTTAAAGACCAGTTGGCAATCACAGCATGATTTCACTGCAGATGAAATTAGTTTTACGACAGTTTTATATAAAATGTTTCAAAACTTTGATAAGGAAACTTACCAAATTCATTTTAAGAGGCTAAAAATGGATGAGATATTAATAGTCAAATCTCACTTAGGAACATATGTGCAAAAATTCTCAGAGCAACTTATTTTATGAGGCTCTCTCCCTTTCACTAATAAAAAATAAGACAGTAAATAATATATCCTTACTGAACTATAGGCTTTGTAGGTGAGAACAATAATTAAGAGTTATGTATGAATCCTAATAATGTTTCCAGAGAGAATAAAACAGAAAAACTCAGGCAATTCAAATTGAGAAAAACAGGACAAAAATATACAAAGTTTGAAAAGACAAAGAGAGAACACCATGCATATCATAATGTTAACCAAGCCAAATTCTCTATTAAGAGAGTAATAATTTTCCAGATCATTTCCAGAAAAAAATGATCAAAATCAGCTCAGCAAATCCAACAAAAAGTTAAATCAATCACCAAGTTAGGAAGAGACTGAAAAGTTTACCAAAGTATTACTCCCTCAAAAAGGTCAGAGTCTAGAAGATTCTATTCTGCATCTATCTGAATTTTCAATGATGAGACAATTCCAGGCAATAAACACTTCTTCCACAATACTACTACTCTACTACTCCCACCAGCTAATACTTCAGCCACTGATGCATTGAATCCTCATGATAAGCCAATGATGTGGCTACCTACTACTACAGTAATCTTACACAGGAGGAAACTGAAGCCCAGGGCGAGCTGCACAGCTAGTAAGTGGTGGAGCCCTGAGAGGAATGAAGGCTGTGATCCTAACCACCATGCACAAAGAAAGACTGAGACCTTTGTCTAAGAGTCCAATATACCTTGATGACAGAACCCTCATAAAACACATGTTTTTCTTCCTTTCTAAATGGCCAGAAACATATTAAAATAATCAAACGCTTGCATAGCACTTACTATGTGCCAGGCACTGTTTGAAGCAAGTGACAGAAGCACTTCATCGCCATGGCAACCCTGGGAGGGAGTTACCATCATTATGCTTCTGGGTAGATAAGGAACCAGAAGCATGGAGAGGTGTGTTCAGTGCCATGTCCAAAATCGCACAGCGAGCAGGTGGCAGAGACGGCATTCAAACCCTGGCCATCTGTAGGGTTTGTACGTGGTGTTATATTAAACATAATAGAACATGCTGAAGACAGCAGAGAATGTAACCTTTAAAATAATCACAAATTACTGCTTTCTAAAAAATCAGATATGGAAATCAAAGCCTCCCTTATGGAACAGGTCATTGCAGGCAAACAGTCATTAGGTGCTGTTCTCAAATCTTATAGAATAATCTAAAGCAAGAAATACACACAAAAAAGCAAAGTCTCCAGGGACTATCATTAAAATCCCAATCAGGCTAACCTTTTCTTATAAAAAAATAATAATTATGTGTAAGTTATAAATACAATCTATACTATGACTTACAGGCATTACGACTTCATTACCTTGTTAAGCCACTGTAATGTGTTTTTAGCAGAGATGGAAGACAAATTACTTTCTCAAGTACAACTTAAGACGTTTGTTCAAATGATTTTCTTTTCATTCTGTGGTATTAGACTAAGACTCTATTAATTCCATTTGGATTTCAGTACACATTCTGAGGTGAGTTTTAAACATATGAAGCAAATGACATCAACAATACCAAAGAAAATATATCACAAGAACCAAAGAGAATGCTGCCCAAACTTTATATATAATATTGCACAGATATGTGAAAAAGACTGTAAATACAGGTCACAAATGAATCCATATCATTATGAATTACATACTACAGTTGACCCTTGAACAATGCAGGGGTTAAGGGCACCAACCTCTGTACAGTCGAAAATCTGTGTAGAATTTTTTTTTTGAAAATCTGTATAACTTTTGATTCCCCCAAATATAACTACTAATAGCCTATTGTTGACCAGAAGCCTTAAGCAATAACCTAACTAGTTAACACCATTTTGTATTTTGTATGTATCAAATACCGTATTCTTACAATAAAGTGAGCTAGAGAAAAGAAAATGCTATTAAGAAAATCATAAAGAAGAGGAAATACATTTATAGGACTGTACTGTATTTATTAAAAAAAAAAATCTGTGTATGAATGGACCCACACAGTTCAAATCCACGTTGCTCAAGGTCAACTGTATATTTATCCTGAACAATAAACTTCTATAGCCTGCGGTAACAGAATAAACCAACTAAACAAAGTTTATCTTTAATATAGAAGTGGCTGCTATATTCTAGTCAAGTTCTGACTGTTGAGTATTAATAATAATATCCATCAATAAGATGAGATTATTATGGCTACCTCTGGCTTCATGCGACGTCCTCATTTCACTTTCTGTTCTCTCTTCAAAGTCCTCTTTGACATCATCAGCATGCTGGTCTCTGAGAAAAACAGATGTATCAATGTTTTGTAATGCACTTTAAAGGATGGTTCAGCACTGCACCTCAGCAACTGTTATAGGTAAGTGATAAATCACTGAATTCTACTCCTGAAACTAATACTACACTGTATGTTAACTACCTAGAATTTAAATAAAAACTTGAAACATTAAAAAGCAACAAAAAAACAAAACACAACAAAATAAAAACACATGATACCACTAAAATGTTAGAAAGGATTTTCAGTTCTACTAAGAAGCAACGCCTAGTAATAACATCTATAAACATCCATTTTCTTCATTACCAATTTTCATTTAGAGTTCAGAAAGGAGATTTTTTAAAGCTAAGAATGGTATTAAGGTGAACTATCCTGGCAAACGCAGCTACTCAACTTCAACTGGGACAGGTATTCATGAAGAATTTTACTTGGTACTATACAGTAAAACTACAATTTAAGGAAAGAAAATATTTTGAAACTCCAGACCGTTTTAATCAAGTAGCATATACACTACACTCAGCTCTGGGATTTGGGCTTGAGCCTGAGACTGGCCCAGGAGAATCAAACTCAATTCTAGGAAGCTTTTCCTGGCTTAATCAGGTCAAATGTGTAGGCTGAACTGATTCCAACTCTTTTTGACCAGGAATGATCCAAGGCTAATCTAAGCATGCCGAAATGCTCTAAAATGCAATGGAATCCATTACGATCTTAATTCAGAGCTTTACCCTTAAGTCAGGGACAAAAACAGCATTAAAGGGAACCAAGAACAGACTAATTATATTTTCTTTAAAGCTACATTTCAAGTATTTAAAATTTTTCAACCTAATTTTTCCATTCCCAGAGTTCAAAATACATCCCACTCTCCAATTTCCTGGTACTATCGAGGCTATGATCCCTGGTTTCACACTTCAATGCCTTATAATACTCTGCATTTATGATGTCCTACTGTTTCTTATGTGTTGTTACCTATATATAAATATATCCCGAGTTTCTAAAAGATCCAGATCATACTTCTACTGTTAAGTTTTAAGGAAAAAAGCAAACACATTTGAAACCAGACACCCCAACAAAATATAAAGCAGCTGTATAGTCTTAATTACAAAGGCACGAATTTATTCTCCATTTGAATGATGATAATTTAACACAACAATTCAAACACGGTAAGTATGCCATAAATACATGTTCACTACTTCTTAGATCATTTCCACAAACACATGTGAAATTTCATTGAGATCTGTGCTCCCTGGCTAATAAGTTCATACTAAAAACAACTTATCCCAAATGCTGAAGAAAACTTGCTTATTTGAGAATGGAGATGAATCACGGTTAATACAAAATAAAAACACATCTTCTTCCAAGAGTAATCAAATGATTATTGGAGGCTCTTATTCCATAAAATGTAAGATTCCATAAAATGTAAGATGGAAATATGGGAAAAAATAAGAAAATCACTGATAATTGGAGAAGGACATTAGTTGAAAACTGTCTTCTCTGTAAAAACTGTGCTAAAGTTATACTTGGTAATTACAACATGCTAAAATCAGCCTCGTATGTTAAAATTAGCTTATGTGATCTTCTGAACTTGTTTAATATTAAATTAGAATATTCTTTGAGTCTACAAATCTATCCCAGTAAGTACTGTGACCACTGAAAAAAGTTGTTTGTGCATGACTATCTTAATATTTATTAGAAAAAAAGTCACATATTACAGTGATAACTTGAAATTGGCATTTTTCAGAGTTAAAATAAATTCCTAATTAGTCATCATAGATTTCCCAAAAGCTTTAATGAGTGGTTAAAAGGGAAAAAAAAGACAAACTGAGATCAAAGGCTAAAATTAAGTCTTATAATTTTTCAAATATTTCTGTTTTCATGATCAGAATTGTCCACTGATAAGTTTTACATTTTTGTGGTTTTAATAAAGCACAGCATTCCTTTAAAGTTAAGTTTTATTAAAATAAAGGTATAAGACTTAAGTATGAGCAAAGTTCTATTGTATTCTTATGCCCAAATACAATGCCAATGGTTTATCTTATGAATGTAAGAAAAGGACCATTTGCTAGGAGAGAATGGAGACAGAAAAGGAAAATAAGACCTCTGACCCAAAAAGTTTCTTCAGGCCTGAACCTGCTGTAATCCATCCCCAGAGAAGCAAAATGGAAGCCATCTATTCTTATATTATTTATATAGCTTCATTATAGAAGCATGTTCAGTTTCCATTTTCCCTACTGCAACTCGTGATATTTCATTAAGCTGAACCCATATAAACTTGGGAATATAAACATGAGTATTTATCCTTACCAAACACAATTCAAATAAAGGACTCTAGAAGAAATGTTTACTGAATGTTTTATTTCCAATTAATATACTGATTCTGCTAATTCCTTAAAATTAAAAGCGACTAAGCCCCTAGGGGGTTCTACATGATATTTCATTTACTAGAAAGTTGGAGGGGTGGGGCAGTGGGGTCACCTGAGCAGTCTATTAGAACAAGCATTATCAAATAGATGGATGAACAGAACCACTGAAGTGAGCAGAATCCTAATTTAAGCACATCTAGAAATGTGGGAGCAGTTAATAATAAGAAAAGTTACAAGAACATACTATGCACCAAAGGCTGGCTGAGATCTTTACATGTCCAATATTTCGTAACAATTGCTAGAAGAAGGTTCTGTTCTTAAGGCCACTGAAACTTAAAGAGGTTAATGCCAAATTTGTAGAACAAGTACAGCACCAGGTCTACTGACACCAAAATCCATAATTAGATTCAAGTATTACTTGGTTTTTACCTTTGCATTTCTCCAGAATACAGTATACCCGTCTTCTAGTGACAAGGTCAGTCATGAAGAATCTGACTCATTCTTGTTTGTTTTGTATTTTATTTAAAATAAAAATTGGTTTCTCAGGGTACCTGGGTGGCTCAGTTGGTTAAGCGTCTGCGTTCGGCTTGGATCATGATCTCAGGATCCTGGGATCGAGCCCTGCATCGTGCTCCTTGCTCGGTAGGGAGTCTGCTTCTCCCTCTCCCTCTGCCACTCCCCTGCTTGTGCTCTCCCTCTCTCTCTCAAATAAATAAAGTCCTTAAAAAAACTGGTTTCTCAGTTGGGCAACCAATATTTCTCTCTCCTACAAGGTGAGGAGTTTCATTGCTAATTCTGACTCAAGAGGTGCCATGATGGGTCTCTTTCTCTGTGCAAAAATGAAATCCTTAATCTAGGATTTCAACTTCCTAAGCACAAAGTTATTCTAGTTGCACAGGTCTTCCAATTACAGACAAAACACGTTTATATCAGAATGCCCCAACTCTGTGATAACTTTATAATTAATCTCTCTGGAACACGGTACCAGATATGCTTCTTAACAGATTCTCTTTAAAAAAAGACCACCAAACATATTTTGATGTATTTTAATAGTACATTTTTGCTCAACAAAAAACATCTCTGTTTTCTTCTCTTGATCAACACTTTCCATTAGCAACAATTTCATTTAGCTCCGAAGGAGATACAAGCTGACTGGGCAGGGGGCTAGGGAATCAGAACATGGAGTGGTTACATGGATGGTCTCTGGAAGTGAACAGACCTCCTTCCAATATCAGTTCTGCTACTTAATTCTAAATGATCTTCAGCAAGTTACTTAACTTTCCTACTTCCCAGCTGCATCACCTGTAAAACGAGGGTAATAAATCCCTTTCCTCACAGGCATTTTGAGGACTCAATAAAATAATGAATACAAAATGCTGCCCACAGCCAGACATAGAAGCAGAAGCATGATACATGGCAGCTTCTACTATTTAAGAATTACTTCTATTTGGGGATAAAATCATCCACTGTCACCTGTTTTCTTCAAGTTTTAAAATAGTTTTTAGAGTCAAAGTTACGAGCCAGACTGCAGCCAGACGGCCTGGGCTGTAATCCGGGTCTGCTATTGACTAGTTGTGTAATCTGTAACCACGAGAGGTTCTACATTTTTGAATGGGGATGTGAGAACAGCACTCACCCCACATAAGGCACTGTGAAGATTAAGTGAGCTAATGTAGGTAAAAACACCTAGAAAAGTACCTGGAATACAGAGATTTCCCTTGAGATCTTAGAATTTTCAAGAACCAATTTATTTCAACGTTTCTTTAGCTTGAATTGAAATATAACCATAGCTAAAACCTTACTGAAGAATACTCTTTAGGTTTTTAATTAAGACAGTGGAATCCACTCAAGTGCAAAAATGTATTCTTTATGAGTCAGCAACCTCTTTTTCTCTGTAATTACATATCATGCTTTAAATGTCTATCTTACTCTAAATATGCTTTGTAGTAATTATTAGCAAAACAAACATCAGAAGGGTAAATACATAGTAACAGGATGCATTTGAATGCAAATAGCTATATTTCTTCAAGTTTGTTTATTTTTCATTTAAAAACAATCCCTAGCCAATTATGCTTCCATCAGTCCCCAGTATGTTAAAAACAATATTGAAAAAAATGTGAAACAATTATTTTGCTTCAATTCAGAGATTTCAGCTATCCCTCGAAATCCAGCATGAGTTTGATTTGGCTCCTAGCTTGAAATAACCCCACCTTCTCTCTCCAGCAGCGCTTATTCTAGTCTCACAGGGGTTTTGTTAGAGCTGAAAAGTACCTGTACTCCCTAGTAACCAGAGGCGACACAATGAATGTAGCTGGGGCCGTAAAATAATGTAGGAATTTCTGTTTTGAACATGAAAAGGAGGTCTTTTTTGCATGCCCCCAGCAACTTTTTTTCCCCTAATTTCTGGGCTGAGGTCACTCACAGGAAAAAAAATCCAAGAAAGAGAGTCTCAGGGTTTATACTTCAGAGGAATTATAAAAGATTACTTGAACTGTCTCCAAATGCCTCCTACAAATGAAGAGGAGAGTGTGCATCCACAGCCTCAGTACAAGAAGGTCACCATCTTCAAAAGGACTCAGAAAAGATGGCAAATAAAACCAGTCGGATTAAAACTTTTATGTCTATGGTTAACATCTGAATAGTCT